ACTAAATGAATATGAATCCACCTTGTATGAATAGGAAATGGAAGAAATGAAAAAAGGGGACTGACCGGAAGAAACGTCAGCGGAATAGGGAGGATTATATGAATTTCGGAGTGCAGGGGAAGTACGGCTGCAGTGCCGGCGCGACGGTGGCCCTTCTCAACGGAACAGAGAGAGTGATGGTGTTAGGGAAAATAAAGGAGGGTGGAAGATGAAAGGGATTTGATGGGAAAACTCAAAAAATATAAAACAACGGAACAAAACTTTTTATTTTTAATTTTAACGATAAACTAACTTAAATCAATTTTATTCAAACAAGTTTTGTTTTTTAAATTGAATTTTAAAATCAAATTTTTTTCACAACTATTCCAAGCTCTTTACTTTTTTTAAGGGCTTTTATTGGACTCTATCCAATTTTCGGACCACCCGTGGGATAATATTTTTTTGTATGTGATAAAAATAAAATAGGGTAGATCAGATTCCAGTACGCCCTGAAACAATATTGCTTCTGTGTTTTGTTATAAGTTATAAAATAAAAATGTGTCCAGATTTTAATATTTGTACACGTCACTTACTTATAACTCAAATTTAAATAAAACTAAGTCGGTTACTAATTCATAGATAATTCATAACTTTATTATAATTTATACATGATTTATAACTCATTCATAACTTTAACATAATCCATACATGATTCATAATTGAGTCATAATTCATAGATCATTCATAATATATATGTAATTCATAAGTTATTACTAAGATTACATCAAAATACAACTATTGAGTATAGCACGTAGTCTTATTTCTATTATGTCTCATATATTGTAGTACAAATTGTATCTTTGATAATATTGCATGTAAAGTCACTTACTCAATGATGTCTTCTTGAAACTCTCATCTACTTATGATATCTCTTTCAATAGAAAAAATACAGTGGCATATAAGTAATACATCCACGACATAACCATTATTTGCATATTCCTCTTCTAGTATCTCTTAATGAGTTATTCTGTGGGGAATCCCCTTTTGACACTAGTGTCATATAAGGATGGGAAACTCTATAAAACTATTGAATATAACTATATATTTTACTCTATGAACGAATAATTGACACACTATATGCATCATTTGACACCAAATACTCGTGTTACTCCAAAAATATCACATCAACATCTTTGTGGAGGACAGTGGCAGGAGCAGCAAATGTGGGATCCTGAGGAATACCCTACAGATACCCGAATTGCCGTGATACTCGCTCAAGTGGATATAGGTACACATGTCTAGACCCACAAGCCATTCATCCAAAGTACCAATAGAGTTCTTGGAAAATGTTGGAGAACTCATGCTTGAAAATGGTCCAGATGAAATATCATTAAGGATGTAGTACCAGTATTATAAAATTAATGATTGACATGTAAATAGATACCTAAAATAGACAATTTCTTCCAATCATCTATCTTGTCTTCCATTGATTAGATTCATCTAAATTGGAGTACAAGTAAACCAAACAAAATACTTCCCAATTATACTCGTAAATAACTTTATAAAGTATCAAGGATGCACTAAAAATCGTTATGAGTGTTTCGTGTACGACAAAAGTAAGTTTTACAATTGTCGTATGCATAGAGATCGTTGGTTTCAAAGATAGAGTAACATTGATTTATTATTCTAAGTAAGAAAAGGGTTTTGTGTTTGTTGTGATGCGAAAAAGTAAATGACAGAAAGTAAAGTTGGAGATTTCGGTGATACTAGTGAGAATGCTCATGGGGATATATTTTATTATTATGTATCTATCGTTCACATCAATATGCAATATGCTCATTCACTCAGCATAGAATACTACCACATGTTACATTTATCCGTATCTCCTTCCGCTCTCCATATTGTGAGGTCTATATATATATATATATATATATATATATATATATATATATATATATATATATATATATATATATATATATATATATATATATATATATATATATATATATATATATATATATATATATATATATATATATATATATATATATATATATATATATATATATATATATATATATATATATAGAGAGAGAGAGAGAGAGAGAGAGAGAGAGAGAGAGAGAGAGAGAGAGAGAGAGAGAGAGAGAGAGAGAGAGAGAGAGAGAGAGAGAGAGAGAGAGAGAGAGAGAGAGAAGACACCAAATTAAGGTAACAAGTTTCAAATATAATTTCATTTCATTATTCTGCCTCATATACTGACTTGAGCGTTAGAGTGCTAACTTTGCTGGTTCCCTCTGCTTTGCCACATCAGAAGCTATAATCCTTCATCAATGGCATTCTTATATTCATTTCTGGTTCTAGAACAAAATAGTGGTGTCGTCTATAGGAATCGACTTTTGGTTCCTACTATTTCCACGAATTCATTATCACTTTCCAACGCCGCAGTTTGTAACCTCCATCGATCACCAGAGCAGAAGCATTCTCAATCAAGCGTGAAGATCCATCGCATATTGACTCAACCAAGCATGATCTCAATTTTGTTTCCTCAAATTTAGATATCTTCAGTTGTTACAGTTCTCGGTGATGGCTAGATCTAAGGTTACTAGATCCTCCATTGCGCGTGAAGGCGCCATTGTTGCTCCAGCAACAAGCAACCAACCATTCTCCTTCCTCCATAAAAGCGTCGTAGATCCTAAAACGGTTGTTTCGCTACATCCAGATTTGGTTTAAGCTCTGTGGTTGGCTAGATTTATTCAAGTTATGTCAATGGAGATTCATGTTCCCCCTTAATCATAAAACAAAAGCCTTATTTGACCTCCATGCTCTACAAGTGAATCTCAGGGTGCAAGGTGCTAACGATTTGTTGAACAACATATTTAACATCTTATTCAAGTTTTGCACACTCAACAAACTATTAAAGTATACAATTATTCTTTATACTTTGTTATCATCAAAACTTAAGGATTGTAGATGTAGAACCAAACTTGTTCCAACAATCTCCCCCTTTTTTATGATGACAAATATTATAATTTTGACGAACAATTTGACTTAACAAATAATCAACTAAGAATCAGACAATTTTGTAAGCTTCTTCTGAGTTTTAGGCTTCAAATTTTTCTTACCTTAAGTTCACAGTGTGGGGTTTGCAAGCTCCCCCGTAGTTTAAGACTTAATTATTTTTTATTTCCAATTAGCACATAAAGTCTTATGATTTATCCAACAAATTGTTAAAATGTTTGGGATTTATCTTTAGATAAAAATGAATCAAAATAATATATTTTCTCCCCCTTTGTCATCAAGCATAAAGATAAAGATGTCATTTAAAGACATTAAAACTGATTTTTGAAAGTGATACTACATAATGATAAAAACATAATCAATCTAGAAAAGAAAATTTAGGATGATGGTGGTAATATGGCTAAAATGGTTGTTAACAACTCCTCAATTCTTGAGTTGGTCCAATCTTGTTCTAACAACTGAGCATTTGAGAGAAACAGTAGCACTCAAAGTTAGGGATATGTGTAACACCCCATTTGAATTATTTAGTCGCTTTTGTATTTTCTGTGAT